TTGATGCCTTCTAAGCACTAAATCTTATGGAATCAGTGGACCCCATGAAGATACTACTCTCATCAAGTTGCAGTAAAAGCAGATGAAGCCTAGTCAAGCCAGGACTTTTGCAGTACTCAGAGCTAAGAAAAAAATGTATAGTTTCAGTAGAGGGTGTGTATGAATGGTAAGACAAGGTACTAGTAGCAGAGGTCTGGAGGGCCAGCCAGAACACCCACATCTGGTTCACAGTGAAAAGAGACTCTCCTCTCTCCAAAGGATGTTGGCAGAGAGTACCAATAAGATAAGAACTTAAGCTGCCTCCTGGAAGTAAATACAATCTAGAGTCTTAAAACACAGTAGCCAACACATCCACATGCCAATGGAAAACCAGTTATCATACCAAGAATCAAGATCTTAACACTAGTAAGAAATGAAATTCAGGATATACCAACATCTCTGTAACAACATCAGAGTTATCTGATGAGCAATTCAAGGCACTCACAATACACACACTGCAAGAGAAAGCCACAAACATGGGAAAATGAAGAAATACTCGGCAAAGGATTTAAGCAGAAAAATTTTAAAAATCAAGTTGAAATTGAAAGGCTAAGTGATTAACTGAACAAAAACTCAATGGATCTCAGTAGCTGGAGAGTATAAAAGAAAAAGTAATAAGGAAGAAAAGCACTAGAAATTACTCAGTTTGAGCAAGAGATAAAATTAAATTAACAAAAGGGTGATGGAAATGTCTAACATTGACTTTGGTGAAGGTCACACCAGGCAGAAAGTATGAAAAGCCTTTGGATTAGATGCCTTAAATGCTAAATTATACTATTATATGCAGTAATTTATCAATAAAGCTTTTTAAAAAGTTCAGTTGATGAAATTCCAATTAAATGGTGAAAGAGACACAAAAGCACTTGCTAAAGATGAATGGGAAGTTCAGCGTTTGGATCAAGAGATGGAACTGACGTGTATAGATATTAATCAAAATTGATTAAGCAAAGTATGTAAAATGTGTATATTTTCTCCTTAAAAATGACACTTAAGAACTGGTTATTGTAAGAACTTATTACATAATATCAAATTTCTTTCCAATATATTTTCAGCTATTTATAATCATAAAGGATGTACTAAAATTCAAGTGTGACATAATAGTGATAACTTTGTGGCTAAATAAATGGCATTATAGCTTGAATTATCAATAATTTATTGTTAAGTGATGCTGGAAAAACTGAATATCGACTTTCAAAGAATGAAATTAGATCCATATCTCTCACCCTGCATAATAATCAATTCAAACTTGATCAAAGACCTTAATTTAAACAGGGAATGCTGCAACTGCTAAAGGAATACATAGAATATACTTCCCTTCAAGATGTACATATAAATAAGAACTTTCTGACTAGGACCCCAATATCAGAAGAAATATCCCCAATGATTAATAAATTGGATGACATGAAATTTAAAATGTTTTACCCAGGAAACTGAATAGACAGCTTCAGAATGCATGAAAATATTTTGTACCCTATCCTGCCAACAGAGGACTGATTTCTACAAAATATAGCCAATTGTAAAAATGAAACCTCCAAAATAAAAAATGCATCAACAAGTGAGCCAATGAACAGTTTTAAAAAGAAGAAAGACAAATGGCAATAAGTATTTTTAAGATGTTTAATATCTTTAGTTATAATGAAAATGCAAATTAAAACTACTCTGAGATTTCATATTTCCACAGTCAAATGGTATCAAGAAAAGAAACAATTGCTAGAGAGGTAATTGGAAGAGGAGGAGCCCTTCTTCACTGTTGGTAGGAAAGCAACTTAGTGCAGTCACTATAGAGACCAGTGTGGTTGCTTCTCAAAGCATTAAAAATAGAACTTCCATATGGCAAGATATAGTACTCCCAGGCATATGCCCAAGGTCTCATCCTATTACAGAGAGTTTTGTACAGCCATGTTCATCATTATTCTTTTTTATAATAACAAAGAAACAGATGACAAGAACATATGGATGGATAGTGTGACTGTACTATGTACACAATAGAATTTTATTAAGTTAATAAGAAAAGTGAAATTATGAAATTTTGGGGAAAATATATAGAATTGAAAAAGTAAGTAAGTGATGTAGTCCAGGCTCCAAATGACAAATATCAGACTTTACCTCTCATACGTAGATCCTTGTCACTAACTGTTAACTATGTGTATGGGGGGGACAAACATAAATAAGAGCAAGGAAATTAGAAAGGGGCTCATGAGACTAGAGAAAAGAGCCCTTAGGGAAAGAAAACAGAACAAAATAAAAGGGAAACCTTGGTGTTAAAAAGTTACAGTGGAGAAGAGTATGGAAGATGAGGGAGGGAGGGGAAGAGTAACCAACCAAAATGAAGTGTGTATGTAAATCACACTGGAAACCTACTTTGTAAGATAACTTAAACATAAAAATGTAATATTGTTTAAAAATAAACACAAAAATTGTGAAAGTGGTTTTATTTTTTTGTTTGCTGATTTATTGTTTAAATATACATGCTTAAATAAGTATTTCCATGTCACATACTCATTGGGTTTCTGTCTTGACATGTCCTTGACTTTTTCTCTCCTTTTATATGTTTTACAAATATTTCTAAGAACTGAGTCTGCCTTCTCCATTGTTAGGAAAGTAAAATATTTAGCCATAGAGTTCATGTGAGTATTTTTATAATTTTAAATATTTTTAAATTGTTTAACACAGAGTTAAATTTTTTCTTGCATTTCTTAAATGCTCTTAAGAGAGTATAAGCATAGGTATCATAAGGCAGGAATTCAACTTAGCATTATACAGTTGAACTGATGCTCTCACACGCGTGTGGAGTGGGTATAGTGTAATGTTGTGTGTTGTGAGCATGTGTGTTGTTATATAGTTGAACTGATGCTCTCACACGCGTGTGGAGTGGGTATGGTATAATGTTGTGTGTTGTGATGCACGTGTGTAGAGTGGGTATGGTGTAATGTTGTGTGTTGTGATGCATGTGTGTAGAGTGGGTATGGTGTGATGTTGTGTGTTGTGATGCACGTGTGTGGAGTGGGTATGGTATGATGTTGTGTGTTGTGATGCACGTGTGTGGAGTGGGTATAATGTAATGTTGTGTGTTGTGATGCAGGTGTGTAGGGATGAGTGCAGGCCACAACGGCACAGGTGTGGAGGTCAGAGGATAACCTGCACCAACAGAGTCTGCCCTTCCTTCATGTGGTTCTCATGGATGATATTCAGACTGTTAGTTGTAGTAATATTTCATTTGTATTTTAATAAATAAAGTTTTCTGAAGATCAGAATGCAAAACAGCCACACTAGTCAGTCATACAGGCCAGGCAGTGGTAGCTCACACTTTTAATCCCAGGAGCTACACTAGTCAGCCATAGGGGCCAGGCAGTGGTGGTGCACACCTTTAATCCCAGGAGCTACGCTAGTTAGCCATAGGGGCCAGGCAGTGGTGGTGCGCACCTTTAATCCCAGGAGCTACGCTAGTTAGCCATAGGGGCCAGGCAGTGGTGGTGCGCACCTTTAATCCCAGGAGCTACACTAGTTAGCCATAGGGGCCAGGCAGTGGTGGTGCGCACCTTTAAAAGCAGCACTAGAGAGGAATATAAGGCGGAATGAGACAGGAACTCACTCTCTTTGAGTCTGATGATTTCACAGAGGTAAAAGCTCTCTAGTGGCTTGGCTGCTCTGCTTTCCTGAGCTTCAGGTTGAGCCCCAATATCTATCTATGGGTATTTATTATTCGTGCGACAGTTAGTCTTGGCAGCAAGCACCCTCACCTGCTGAACCATCTCACTGGCATGGTTTAGCTTATTTTGTTTATGCCATCATGAATGGGAGCTACTTCTAGATTTTTTCTCTATTTCATTAATCATTTCTCTATTTTCACACCAGTTATATACTACCTTACTACTGACAACATTTTAATAAATTGACGCATAAAACAAAAAATATAAAAGAAATGCCTAATCTAATTTAAATTCCTACTGAAGTATCAGATAAAATCGTAGGTTTTTTTTTTAATGAAAATATGTAAAGGCAAAGGCTTTTCATCTTAAAATTATTTTGATGTTTTTATATAATGTCAAATTATTGTTGCATTAAAGGTGAAATTATTTTTATTTGCCATTAACAGCACATTCTCTTCCATACTTGCTCTCCATTCATACAGACAATAACAAACGTCCAGGGTGGCACCGGCATGTAAAGAAATTAGTTTCCCTTTCATTTGCCTTATTTATTTGCTTTGGTTTGAAGACAGAGTCTCACTCTATAGCCAGGACTGGACTCTAATAAATTTATGGAAATCCATCTGCCTTAGGATCCTAAATGCTGGATGATGGGCAAGAACCACAGCACCCAACCTCATTTTCATTTTATATACGTATATAAAACATCTATATATGTGTCTATATAAACATTTTATTTATATAAAATATATATAAAACAACAAATATATATTCACTCGCAAGAATATATGTATGCATATATATTGACTCTTGAGAGTTGCATATATGAAATCAAGAAGTCTAGAATAGCAATGCTTTCTACTGTCCTTTGCTCTATTTTTAAGATGCCAATGTCTAGAATAGTCATTCTTTTTGAGCATCAAAGCCTTTGCTTTCTAGCCATTAATTACCAAGTGGTTGGTAGAATGAGACCTGGAAGAATTCCAGAGAATTCTAAATCAGATATTTTTTTGACATGGTATTACTTTGTAGACCAGGCTGACTTCAGACTCTGTCCTTCCAAGGGCTAGGATTATAGGCATGTGTTGTGCCTGGTAAGACCTTATCTGATGTGACTGCTCACTCTGTTTTAATACTTTCACATATTTGAAGGAAGTGTTATCTCTTGTTTTTAGTGTCCAATCTTTAGTCAAATTCTTTCTTGTTCTCTAGCTGTTTTGAAACTCAAAAGTAAATTATGAAAATACAAATATAGCATAATCTTAAGACATAGTCTCACAAAATATTTAAATATAGATCATTTACACTTACCTCTATTTCTTTTCTTAGCTTTTCATGTGTCTTTTTCTCTTCTTCAATAGAACATGTTTTCTCAATGATTGAATTTTTTACTGTCGTAATTTTATTCATTAGCTTTGAAATGTCTTCCTGAATATTTGTAAATTTAAAAATATTCAAGTCAAAAACCCAATGATCAAAATAAACCCAAGACAGTCAGTGCTTTCATAATATATGAAAACTAGCCTAATATTTAAATTTTGAAAACAAGATTAAAACATTACTTCTATGGCCATACAAAATAAAAAACCACTATTTACACAAAGCAAACCTGGATTTGAAAACAAAATAAAACACAAAGGAAAGTAGCAGTTGTGCTGACGAATCCCTGACAACAGAGTAGAGGATACTTTTTAAGTCTCTAGCAAGGAGGGGGATATATTTTAAATCTGTATCCTCTATGGTTTTCAAAGATTAGTAAGAGGAATACAAAGATGCTCAACTGCAATCATGAATTAAGTTTGTCTATATAATAGCATTAATCACATGAACTTATTTGGTCTATCTTCATCAGAATAGAAGCCAGAGACTGAACATTTTTCATGAATTACTCTTTCTGCAGTAAATGGACTGTTCACTGGGATTTGGACCACACACACACACACACACACACACACACACACTTTATAAAGCCACAGATGATTTATATCTATCTCCTTTAAGCAACAGCGCATTTGGAAAGTTGTTATTTAATTTATGTATCTTATTGCTATATGTACTTACTTAAGTTTTGAAACTTGTAAAAACAGTTTCTGAATGTAGAACTATTGGTATTACATTATTATATTATTTACTATATATACTTACAAAAACCAGAAAAGGGTTTAGTAAGTAATACTTCAAACCTGTATTTGTATTGCATAGCTCCTTTGTGGATTTTGGAGATTTTCCATAAGATCTTCTTTCATTGTCTTTAGGTTTTTGATGAGATCTCGCTTTTCATAGAGTTCAGTCATAAATGAGCATTTGCTGTCTATCTCTCCTAAGCTATCTTTATAGGCTTTTATTTTTGCATAATATGCATTATATTTTATCATTTTTTCCTTGAAATTTTCTTGGGCTGTTTCTGAATCAAATTTAAGCTTTACAGTTTCTGAATGTAAGGACTCAATCTGAGCTTCCAAGAGTCCACACCGAAGTCTGGAATTCTCCATGGCAGCATCTTGCTGGTGCATCTGCCTCTCTGTTTCTTTAGCTTCTGCAGCAGTAGCTGCTATTTGATTTTCAAGATCATGAAGTTCAATCTGTAATAAATTCCATAAATATCAGGAATGATTAATTCATTTGTATTCATCACAGAGGAAAGTCATTATTTTGACTCATAATGCACATAAAAAGTCACAACATAAAAATATACCTTTATAAGATATTAAAAAATGACTCATAATAGAAGACATGCAATTGCACAATATACACTTATAGAATTACAGAAGGGTCCCAGAGTTTTATATTTCTTGCTTGATTACTTAATTCTAAAGTCTTAGAGTTATATAATTTAGCATCTTATGAATAATGGAGATATTTAGTTATTTTAAAAACGCATTTATAGGTACCAGAAGTATTCATTCAAATAAGACAATGTGGTAAAATTTATATGGCCCAGAGTTAAGTAACCTAAAGACTAGGTTCCAGCGTCTTTACTGCTTTTTACCAACCTCTATGATCACACATGAGCCAATCTCACTTCCTCCACTTGCAAAATGAACATAAAGGTATCTATGCTTTCCCGGGGTACCCGCTGTCTCTGACTCACGCATCCTTATTAAACCCTGGTTTTCATCTCACCAGTTTCTTTGGATCTCCTTAGTCACTTCTTACTACTTCTCCGTCTCAACAACTCCTTCAAATACAGGACGTCCTCAGGGTGCAGCCATCATATTTCTTCTTGTCAGTGTATGTGTGTAATTAAGTAATTACAGAACTAGTCCCAGCTTTTCTATTTTCCACTGACGGTCACAGACTATATGTGGTTACTGAGTTCTATATGCCACTGCCACAGGCCACTTCAAATCCACCATGCCCCCAAATCAGACTTTCCTTCCTCCCTCCCTAACCTATTTCTATTTGGATCAATTGCCACAGCACAAGACCTCAGTGATATTTATCATGGACATGCCTGGGAGAGGTTGGTGTTGCTAGGTGATGCGTAAGGTGGAGAGTAGGAAGGGGAAGAATGCAGAGGGCAGTGGGGTGAAGAGAAGGACTGAACGACCTATTTTAAATGCCTGCAGGGTTCACTGGGCTGACTAGAATATCTCGGCTTTGCCCTGCATGCATTAAGCTCCGGAGTTATGTCCTCATGCTAGCAAACAAAGAAGTGGAAGTACGACTGTGTAAGAGCTTTCCTAAAGCTTTTTGCTTGATTCCCATGGGCTAATGCTAGTTAGTCACATGACCAAACTCAGCTTCATGGGATGGAAATGTATTTAGCACATTGGGAACACAATGACTATCACAAATTATAGAAGAAAACAGGTTCATCGAAAGAAAGCTAACACGAATTTGCTCTTAAGAATGAGCCTTCTTATGTTCATAGCAGCATTATTTGTAATAGCCAGAACCTGGAAACAACCTAGATGTCCTTCAATAGAATCATGGATGAAGAAAGTGTGGGATATATACTCATTAGAGTACTACTCAGCCGTAAAAAACAATGACTTCTCGAATTTTGCATGCAAATGGATGGAAATAGAAAACACTATCCTGAGTGAGGTAACCCAGACCCAAAAAGATGAACATGGGATGTACTCACTCATAATTGGCTTCTAGCCACAAATAAAGGTCAGTGAGTCTATAATATGATACCCTAAAGAAGCTAAATAAGAAGGTGAACCCAAAGAAAAACATATAGCTACCCTCCTGGTTATGGGAAGTAGACAAGATTGCCAGGCAAAAAATTGGGATCTTGGGGGTGGAGTGGGAGGGGGTAAGGGGAGATGGGGAGAGAAAGTGAGAAGGGGAGGATGGGGGGAACTTGGGGAAATGGGATGATTGGGATAAAGGAAGGTTGGATAGGGGAGCAGGGAAGCACATATCTTAATTAAGGGAGCCATCTTAGGGTTGGCAAGAGACTTGGACCTAGAGGGGCTCCCAGGTGCCCAGGGCGATGTCCCCAGTTAGTTCCTGGGGCAACTGAGAATAGGGAACCTGAAATGACCAGATCCTATAGCCATACTGATGAATATTTTGCATATCACCATAGAACCTTCATCTGGCGATGGATGGAGATAGAGACAGAGACCCACACTGGAGCACTGGACTGAGCTCCCAAGGTCCCAATGAGGAGCAGAAGGAGGGAGAACATGAGCAAAGAAGTCAGGACCACAAGGGGTGCACCCACCCACTGAGACAGTGGGGCTGATCTATTGGGAGCTCACCAAGGCCAGCTGGACTGTGACCGAAAAAGCATGGGATAAAACCGGACTCTCTGAATATGGCGGACAATGAGGGCTGCTGGGAAGCCAAGGACAATGGCATGGGGTCTTGATCCTACTTCATGTTCTGGCTTTGTGAGAGCCTAGCCAGTTTGGATGTTCACCTTCCTAGACCAGGATGGAGGGGGGAGGACTTTGTACTTTTCACAGGGCAGGGAACCCTGACTGCTCTTTGGACTGGAGAGGGAGGGGGAGAGGAGTGGGGGAAGGAGGAGAGGAGTGGGAGGAAGGGGAGGGAAATGGGAGGCTGGGTGGAGGCAGAAATTTTTTTTCTTCAATAAATAAATATATATATATATATATATATATATATATATATATATATATAAAGAATGAGCCTTCTTAGAAGAGTCACAGCCTCATTGTCATAGCCAGCCATGATGAGGAACTTAAAGTGGGAACATTAGGAGAGTTACAGCATCATACCCACAGACAGAAGCCCTTTGAATCCCATTTCCTTTCAGACACGGAGACCACTGGGAATTTCCTTGTATTAAATGGGGAGAGATAGAGCGTGGGGAATGGAAAGCTCCACACCATGTGACCTAGCTTGGCTTGGCCTGGTCTGCACGCTCTCAGTTAGGAAAACACGGCAAATGTAAAGCTACGATGCAAGGCCTGGGCATGACAGTACCAAATGGGACAGAGACTACAGAATTCTTTGTAAGATCTGTGAGGTCACAGCACACTCTGATCAATTGTGGGTAGGTCCTACCTGAATTCTGAAAGAGACAGGCAACTAGAGGATCTGTAAACTAACAGTAATACGTCATAGAGTGTATAAAGAGATCAGAAGTACACATCAGCACAGCACGAAGTCACAGACATAGCCCACAGGACCACCTCGAGAAACAATCTCTGTTTAATCCTCTTTCTATAGTTCTATATTTAACTGTTTGTCCAATTCCACATCAAATTCCACTCAAATAACTGCAGGACCCTTGCCATCCTTCTTTCTTTCTGTCTACGACTGTCATTCCCTTTAAGTCAGTTTAAAGTGCTGGAAGAAAGGTTTGTAAACAAGTGAGCTTTAATTTCAAACCCTTCTACACAAGACTCCTCTGCTGTTTTCCTGGCAGAGCCAGTCAACTACACATACATATTCACCAAATACTCGAAACACACCAAACCACTTCTCCCACAGCTCCACTGATTTCTGCAAACTGTACTGCTTTTCACCCGGACAGTCAAAAGCCAAGAAGTCATTCCTGATTCTTTTCATTTGCTCTACATTCTATTTACCAACAGTACTTGCTGATTGGAACAACAATATAAAATCTCCAATTTGGGGAGAGAATGTAGTCCAGTGGCAGAACATTTATGCAGCACATATGAGGCCCTGGGTTCCATCCCAGCACTAATAAACAAACAAATAAACAGATGAACACCTCAAACTTATTCCTGACATATCTTTATCATATGTGGTACAGCCTGGCTTCTAACTCATCTTATTTCTATTCCTGCCCCTCTTCACCAGCTAGGTCCCATTTGTAAGCAGAAAAATCTTTTTAAAACATAAAACACACGGCATGCTTCCCTGCTCAAGTGCTTCTCACTCATGGTGTCCTGTCACATTAATGACACAATTTTAATCCCTGCAAGAGGCTTATAAAGCCATGTATGCAATAATCCTAATCCCTATTTGCTGCCCCTCCTACTCATTTACTACACTCTTGTTTTCCAGCACCCTCCCTGGTTATCCGTCATGCCCAGGTCCTTCCTAATTAAGGCCATCTTTAGTTGTTGATCCATCTACCATAAAATTTCCTGCCTCAGGCCAGCAAGGCAGGTGAGCAGCTAAAGTGCATGCCTTGATTGCTTGATAACATGAATTCATTTGGAAGACGATAAGCAACTCCACAAAGTTATCTTCTGACATCAATGCATGCACTGTAGCATATGGGTGCCTGAATTCACATGTCATACAAAAGTAATAATAATAATATGTAAAAAACCTTTTTCTGTCCCACCAGCCAGTTCCCAAATAACAACTGAGACTCTGTATTAATTAAGAAAGCTTTACCTTTAGCTTAGGCTTATCTCAACTAGCTCTTGTAACTTAACCCATTTTTATTAATCTGTGTGCTGTCATGTACTAACCATCCTGCTTCCTCTGTGTCTCCTCATGTCTTTTGCCCCTTGATTCCTCCTCCTCTTCTCTTCCTTCCGTGGAAATCCCACCTATACCTCATGCCTAGCTATTGGACATCCAGCTCTTTATTAAACCAATTGCAGCAAAATATCTTTACACAGTATACAAATATTCCACAATAATAATAAACAAAAATTGTTTAAAATCCTTTGTCTCCTCACTGTTCACATTCAATAATTGTTATTATTCCTCAGGGGAACCTTGGTTAAATCAAAACAAGAAGTAGCAACTCACACCCTCCCTGTTACTCTCAACATATTATCCTATCCTACTTCCTTTACAACACCGATCTGTGACTCTTAGTTAGCTTATTGTTTTCTTCCTCTATTAGACTGAAGGGCCACTGATAGTGGCACTAGGATGTATCTCTACCGTATGTACTGGCTTCATGAGATCCTATTCTCTTTGGATATAAACCTTGCTCAACCTAGACATAATAGGGAGGGCCTTGGACTTTCCACAGGGAAAGTACTTGGCACTCCCTTAGGGTTGGAGGGGTGGGGGGAGGGTCTGTGGAGGGAGAGGGAGGGGACGGGGAGGACGGGAAGGAGTGGGAATTTGGATTGGTATTTTTTAAGTAATAAAAAAAGAAAAAAGAAAGTAAGTAAGAGCTGGGTAGTTGTGGCGCACGCCGCCTTTAATCACAGCACTCAGGAGGCAGAGGCAGGCAGATCTCTGTGAGTTCAAGGCCAGTCTGGTCTACAGAGTCAGTTCCAGGACAGTCTCCAAAGCTACAGAGAAAACACATCTTGAAAACAAAACAAACAAACAAACAACAAAAAAGAAAGTAAGAACCTTGTCTGTCTTCTTCATCACCATCTTCCTCTTAAGACAGTGCCTGTCACAAACTAGAAGCTCAATTCACGTTTAGGAAATGATGGGCACATTTATAAGAAAAAAGAACAGATGTTCCCTTGGCTATAATCAAATTATCAATGTTAACAGAGTGTAAACATGTCTATCAATTGCATCACCTCTTTTCTTCCTTCTTTTCTTCCTTCTTTTTTCCCCTTCCTTCCTTCCTTCCTTCCTTTTTTTAATTGTTTGAGACAGGGTTTTTCTGTAGCTTTTGAGCCTGTCCTGGAACTAGCTCTTGTAGTCCAGCCTTGCCTCTAATTTCACAGAGATCCTCCTGCCTCTGCCTCTTGAGTTCTGAGATTAAAGGCTTGTGCCACGATCAGCCGGCTACTTTTTTTCTTTCTTAAACTAATGTAATAGACCATTATATTTTGTTACTAGTTTTAGCATGTTTCCTTGGATCTATTTTCACCCTTAAACTAGAAATATATTGTTACCACTACTTCTTTTCTCCTTCTGCCCCATCTTACTAAGATAAAACCAAGGTCAGTAAATTCAAAACCTTTACATTTTTAATTCTGATAGATTTTGACTTTTAAATTTTATTAATCTATCTCTATCATCTATTTATTTACTATCTATCACCTAGCTACTATCTATCTACCATATATCTACCTATCTATCATTTATCTATCTATTCTCTATCTTTCATATATCTATTCTATATCTATTTTTCATTATCTGTCTGTTATCATAATGTGTGTCATGGTTAATATGTGTACGTGAGGGTTGATGCTAACTAACATCAGGCAATGTCAGAATTAAATTGAGCTATTTAGATTTAGTTGGCATTTGGAGAACTAGAAAATTGACTGCTAGGAAGTAGTCCAGGAAGTATAAGAATTCCAACAATGTTCTTCAAAGTTACTTTGGCCATTTGTAGGTTCTTTGTCTCTCTATCCAGTCTTAGAATCAGTTGGTCAAAACAAAACTAAGGTAGGATTTTTGCTTGAGATGGCTTTTATTCTATGTATAGAATTGGAAGTGCTAACATTTTACTATTTTACCATTGGGAGAACTACCATTCATGAAGATGGTATATTAGGTCTTTAATGTCTCTCATTCATACTTGGCTTGTTTACCATTTGCCAAATGGTTCATCTCTACTTAATGCATAGTTTTGGTACCATCATAAATGATGCTGCTTTAAAATTTTCTGATCATCTCTTGCCCATAAATAGATATATAATAGTTTTAATAATAATAATATTGATATTCTATTATATTTTAAAACTCTTATTAATATTAATAGCCTTTTCAGGATTTTGGAATTTTTCTGAAAGTAGCCACGCCATGAGTAACTGCTTAAGAGGTTTACTTCCTCCTGTCTAGATGCATTGTTTTTCTTCTTCTTACATGAAGCACTGCTTTGAATTACAAGTACCATTTTGAATAAGAATAAAAGGAAGCACCTTGTTTTGTTCCTGATCACTTGAGGAAAACATTTCAGTCTCAGACATATGGTTGTTCTTACACAGATGCTCTTTTCTTTTAGATTGAGGGAATTCTTGTCTATTCCTAATTTACTGACTGGTTTTGTCCTAAGTAAATATTGTAACATGTACTTTTTATGTACCTAGAATTCTCTTTCTATAACAAACATTTTTATTGAATCTTTGATTCTAAATCCATTTGAATCTTATTGATTTCAGAATAAAATACAAGTCTCTCATCACCATATATAGCTTTCACCATTTCTCCAAACCTTCTCTACACTATGCCATTGCCAAAGTATTTCCAGTGCCGTGAACGTGCCAATGCTATGATAAGCCTCTGAGAACTCTCTGGAACATTAACCTCCAAACCTCTCACTCTGAAACTTGTCCCAGGTATTCAGCACTCCAGCTGTTTTTAAATCTTGACTTTCAAAGATCACTTCTTTAGTGAAAAGTCTTTCCTGTGTTAAATATGGATGGGGTTCATGCTTCTAACACTGATGATTGGTGTGGGAATCCTTCTACATATGTGTTGCTTTTATTAGTTAATGAATAAAGCTGATTTCGGCCAATGGCTTAACAGAGTAAAGCCAGGCAGGAAATCTGAACAGAGATGCAGAGAGAGAGAGTAGGCAGAATAGGGGAGAAGACATGTAGCTGCCACAGGAGGCAGATGCCCCCACCAGAGTCCACCAGAACTCTGCCAGTAGGCCACAGCCTTGTGGTGATGCACAAATTAATGGAGATGGGTTAGTTTAGAATATAAGAGCTAGCTAGCAATACACTTAAGCTATTGGCCAAACAGTATTGCAAATAATATCGTTTCTGTGTGGTTATTTCGGGTCTGGGAAGCTGGGAACAAATAAGCAGACTCCATCAACAGATAATACCATGTGGCATGAAATTATTTGTTTGATTTTTTTGTCTCCCTCATCCAAAGGTGATAAACAGTGCAAGAATAAATTTTTACTCAAAAATAGAGAGTCATGTTAAATAAAATCATCTCTGAAATTTTATAAAAAATAAGACACAAAAATTCTTTATAGAAATCTAAGACATTGCTTTGTATTATATTCTATTTTGCAAATATTTTAGGAATGACTAATAATAGTGGAAATATATAGACCATCTATATTACTTTAACATGATTATTATTATTATATATCTGTGAATACATTAATACATAAGTAAATGCCAAAATCAAGTCCTATTGTCCACTGTGGCCTCCACAATGATACTTCTATATAATTACAAGTTTATTCTAATAGTCAGAAAACCTTTACAGTCATACCCCATTAGTCTCTCCATTTTACAAAAGAGGCAGAAGAGACACTGGCAAATTAAATTGTAGAGCTAAATATGCAAAATTAGCCATGAAAGCAGGACAGTTTAGCTCTGGAGTCTATTCTTTTCATTTCTATGGTCTATGTAATAACACCTTTACAAACACAGTTTCCTTTCTCTAGTCATATTCATAGAGTGTAATTTTGTTCAATTATATTTCATACAAGACCAAGATGGCCCCATGTTCCTTGCAGAATAATGAGAGTACACTATGAAGAGGAAAGAACTTAAGGGAAGGCTACTTGAGGCGTTCACTGGACACCAGTCACTAATTTACTTCAATTTATAGTTTTATATATCCCATAGGATGAATTTTAAATAATTCTATGTGATAAGTTGGGTTTTATGTACTTATACCATAGCTATAATGACATTGTAGCTACATTGACACTTCATGGAAGTACGAGATATTCTATAAACCCAGAACATTTATACAGACCACTTTGGGAGAACAAAACACTTGAGGGAATAACTATAAACGTAAAGTGAACCTCCCAATACTACTTCTTTTTTTGTGTAGTGGTGGTAGCGTTACTGTTAGTGTATGTGTGTATGTACATGAACTTGAAAACTAGAGGAAGCCTCTGCTGTTGCTCCTCAAGCACCATCTACTTTGTTTTATAACAAAGGATCTCCCACTGGCTTGGAGTCTGCCATAGACTAGGCTGGCTAGCCAGTGAACCACAGGGATCAGCCTTTCTCCACATGCCACCATGCAAGCATGGAGCATCAAACGCAGATCCTCTTGACTGTGTGGCAAGCGCTTTACCAACTAAAGTGCTCTCCCAGTCCCTGGCTAGTCTTCATAAGCTACATGTCACTAAAAATTCGGAAGAAGCTAGAGACATTTCAAAGATTATATGAAATTGGTTACCTGCAAATGGAGCAGAACTTTCTTATGTTTTTCTATTTCTGATGTTTGTGATTGCTGTTGTTTTGCAACTTGCTCTACAACATCAGTTAATGAAGATGTGTCTTCTTTGCTCAGAGCTAGACAAAGGAATAAGGTAGTTAATAAAAATTAAATGCAGCCATTTTAAGAAAGTCACATTTCTTTCTAGAGATTCATTAAAACCCATGTTTTATTCTTATAAATAACTAAATTTAGGATTGATAGCCTCCATTTCTGTCCCTAAGCAAAACCAAGAACAAGGCAATATTAATGTCACTTCAAGGTTGCTTGCCTCAGTGCTGTACCAGTTCTTCATAGAGCAGAGCAAATAAGATTGTTTTAACTTCTTAATACAGAACCGCTGCACATGTTGCAATTACCATGCTGCCACAGTAAGTGAAAACACTTATGGTCAATTGTTTTTCATTGTAGTCCTGAGCTTTTAACTATTTAATTTTTTGAAATTTTAACTCATAAATTCCTCCAAGCTCCCCATGTGTCCCCTTCACTCTTTTTTCAAATTCATGACCTTTTTAAAAATTGTTGTCACATGCATATATGTATGTGTATTCATATATACAAACATACACACACATATATATACATATAAACTAAATGCATAAGTACAACCTGCTTGGTTTGCATAACTTAATTTGTATATATGTTTTCAGGCTGACCACTTGGTATCTGATAACGAATTGGTATGTTCTACTCTGGGGAAGACCCCTCCCCCACACACTCTCAGCATTTCTTAGTTATGAAGTCCTGTTTTTTAAGTGTTACATAAAGAATATAAACCTTGTGTACGTCTACCCCTGATGAAACATGACTGCTTCCTCCTCCCCCAACTTGCTCCCCATTTTAACACCATGATCCTCTCATTCATTTTCATCCGCTGTTAAGACTGCTTCCTTACCTTCTTTAGGAATGCCTTCATTCTTCCTTTCTTTGTCGTCTGACATTCTTTGTCTATTAGCTCCTTTCCCTGGGTTGGTTCTCCTTTACTCCTACAAAACAACATGTTTCACTTTTCCCTCTTTTCCTGTCACATATTCATGATCCTAACAGTTGTTCATACATTACAAGGATGATTAAAGACTGCTCACTATTAGTATCAATAATTAAACACAATAATTAAATGAGATATAGGAAGAAAAAAATCTTGGTTTGTTTGCTTTTAGCAGTTAGGAGTTAAGGAAGATCTTTTTCTTTTATCTTCTGTGATATCTTCTTTTATCTTCTGTGAAGCTTCACAGGGCAAGGTAATAATTAAAGATATTATAATATAATCCTATATGACACACACACACATGCGCAATACCTGACCTATGATGAGTAATTATTATGGATTAGAAGCAGGGACTTTCAGTAAGTACTGTGTTGAAATAGATTTTAATGAGCACATGTAAGAAATTATTCTAAGAACATTTAAAAATTTCTGTCCAGTGTTATTTTGATCAGGGCAGGTCCTACGCAGGTTTGAAAACATATTTACCTTTTACTTAGGGGCAACTTATATGATAAAGGCATAGAGACTTTATTCCATGAGAAAAGGAAGAGAAAGAATTGCACTAGCAGAGTGGTGTGGTGACAACCTGAGGGCATTGTAGGTTCCAGGAACAACAGCGTCAGAATGTGCCTGCCCAGAGGAAATGACACAAGTTCTCAGTATGAAAAAGTGGACTCAATGTCAACAAATGCTGTTGAGACTGGAAGCTACCACCTCCTATTTAACATCTGTGTATATGGAAATTTTCAGTGAGCTAGCTAATTGTGAGCAAAACCCCAAGATTTCTATAGATGCTGTAAATCTAACCTGTAAATCTAAGTCATTCCAAACTTCCCAAGACAAACAAACAAACAAAAAACAAAACGTCCTAAATGACAAGCACATGTAAAGATACCTCCACAGAGAATTTTCAGCAATCACTGGTCATTTTTCCTAAGGATTAAACACAATAAAACACAATACCACACACACATGCACACACACAAACAAGTTATACATGCCTTTTAAACTAAAACTTAAATGATCGAGATGTATTACATAAAAATAAGAAAGAAAATCAAAAAAACTGAATTGCTCCCGAGGTGAGGAGATTGAAACCTATGCAAAAATATCTTACAAGTGGAAGAAACCCTGAAAGTTTAGCTAGTACATTGTCAAAGTCAAGTGAGAAGTTAGGATCCTATCCTATGGCTTCATGTCACTTCCTTAAATTTCACTTGGAACTTCCTTCATTCCTAACATCTTCCTGGTTCTAAGTTCATTCCCTGCTCACGCCTCTGCTCTACGTCCTTCCCTCATCACACACAGAACTGCTCAGAATTGGTGGATCCAAATCTTACATTCTCTAGCTTGTTTCTTTCATTTTATGGTCAAAAGGCTTCATCCTTCATTTTACCTACCTGCCTTGAGAACATATACTTTATGCCTTGCTTGCCCAATGCTTTCAATTGACTACAGTGCTCAGTGTTTATTTCATGTCTACTTGTGCTGGATGCTAAGTACTTCAGATTTTCTTAAGCATTATGTATAATATTTATTCTGCTCTTGGTAGTGTTCTAAGTATTTTTACATATGAACTCATTTGATTCTGTGATATTTACAAAATGCTCACCGAGGCACAAACAGATCGAGGAATTTATACAGTCGCTACTGTGATGTGAGTTGAATTCATGTATTTGGTACCAAAGTCCATATTCCTAATGCTAAACTACGCTAGAGGACTACCTGTGAAGAGGAAGAATCATGTCTACATTGCCTGGGGACTGCCCCGGGACTCTCTGTGTGCTCAGCACACGTCTCACCACGGAACTTCTTCTTTTCTACTCACACTGTTATTGCCTACTTTTCTTGTTTGAGGAACTATTTCGGGACAGTAGCTTCAGCGCCCCAATTTGCATGATTCAATAGGGAACCAACTCCATGCTCTGAGTTCCCTTTAAGATATGGTGAACTTTTCTTCCTAGCAAGTCTAACCTCTCCCCGGCCGCTCACTCTTACCCCAGTCACCTCCTCGTTTTCTTCATGTCCCAGCCTACAACTTAGACAGAGACCCTCTGCTCGACAAGAGGCCACACCAGCTTCCAGAAGTCCAGGTAGTCACCCCCACCTGTGGACTTCCCTAACTCTTGAAGTGCTCCCCTGTCAGAACCAGTGCCTCTTGTACTACCTGCCTAAAGCTGGACACTGGTCCCATTACACTGTATAATCATTCTCTTCTATAAAGGTTTATCCCCATTGAGCTTGGTACATCCCTTAACTTGACACAGTTACCCCAACTCATCCTTTGTACTCCCTGAAATCCAGCTTCACTTTCAGCACATCTCCAACCTCTTTACCTTTTGGCTCTAACTAGAAGCCAGAAATACTGCCTCTTCCTCAATTCACTAACTATAATGTCCTCACAGACTTAACTCTGAACAGAGTATCAAAATACTTTCCTTATTTTTCTGGCTATATATATTATCCCAAATCTAACCAAGAGGAATGCCACCTCCCCTTCCCATGATCTCCTTCAGAAAGCAGCCTTTCTATAGCCAAGATACTTATTATCCTCTTCCCTTATTCTTCTTGAGCCCACCAGAGTCAAGCATCCACCATGCCACCTTCAGAGCACCTCCACATGGTATCTGTCCTCCACGTGTCCACATTCAAAGGACCAATTCAATCTTCCTTTTATTTGACCTATTGACAACATGGTGCCCCCCTCTGAAACACAATAAATATATTGTTTCTTTTGCTGGTTATTTTCATCTTCCTTAGTTCTGATAGTGTCTTCACCTACCTCTTTTCTGTTCCTCCAAATACGGTATGCCACTCAGTTCAATATTTTAAGATCCAGCTAGAGGCAAAGTGTTCTTAAATCCACATCTTCAGCCTGAATATCTTTCTTGAGCTATAGATTCTGACCAGACTGTCTACTTCATATCTCCCCTTGAAATTTGAACAGGCATTTCAATTTTTAAAATAAACTCTTGGTCTCCGCATCCTCACGCATCATTACTAAATCTGCTCTTTCATAGTTTTCTATATCTCAATATTGTTCAGAACTCAAAACACAGGTTATTATTACAGAAGCCTCCAGAAAGATGTAGCGCTCAGGACAATTTAACTAGACTTGCCAAAGATAAAGAGAGTTCATTGTTTGTGTTCATTGCTCCTTTGGGAAGTCCTTAGAGATATCCCATAAGAAGGATGTCCAAGGCCATTGCTTTGCTTGTCTCACACAAGGGACAAGGTTGCAGCTTGATTCCTTATTCCTTCAGATGCTGTAACACTTTCTGTAAAACTTACTGGCCACCTTTAAGCAATACTGGAATCCAATCTTCCATTACCACTTCCAAACACTATGCTAGCAGAAAATCCTTCTAAAACACAACCCTATTCTTTCACCCTGTCTCCTTGCTTTGCTTCCTCCTTCCCCTCTTTCTCTTTCCATGTGTGCATGCAAAGGTGGAGGCAGCGGTAGATAGATGTTGAGTGAGTACCTTTCCCAATAACTTTCTCCATCTTTTTAGTTTTGAAATAGACTCTCTTGCTGAACCTGAAAGTCACTGGTTCGGCTAGACTGACTGGTCAGCACGCCCCAGGGACCTTCCTGTCTCTGCCTCCCCAGTGTGATATTACAGGCATCACTACTGTGCCAGACTTTTTTGTGTGGGCTTTGTGGGAACTGACTTATTGGGTATTTATGTATGCAAACACTTTGCTGACACATGTCTCCAGTCCTATTTTGCTCAATAGCAGTTATTACCACTGGTTTCTTTTACATTTGTTCCTGTTCTACATCCTTCAACCAATAGGCGTTTCAAAAGGGCAGAGACCTCGAAATGCCTGGCACATACATAGCATGCTCAGACCCATAATCTATCTATCTCCACTCCACTTCAACACGTTTCGACAGGACAATGTTCCTGTGACAGTTCTGACCACACCCATATTATAGTCAGTCTTTTAAGTCAGTTCTAATTCAGATACCATCTTCTTTAAGATAGCTTGTGTGATCTGTCTACGCATACACGATTCTCTCTTTTTAGTAGACTTGTTTCTCTACATACTATGCTAGACAACATTTTAGGTTCTGCAGTGAGATGGAGCTCATTTTGAACACAGGTAGTATGATTTACTTACTTGCTAGGCAAAACATTCACCAAGTTCCTGACTATTCAAAAAAAATTCTTATAATTTTCAACATGTTATTCTATTTTACCCTTAGGCTATACCCCATAAAGGCAAATAGTACTCTACTCTTTTTGCACTCCCTCAAATATCTGATGACATAACATCAATAATGAAGAACATTGGATTCATATGATAAGAAAATAACTGATATTTCTCAATCTTTATTTCTGAATCATGAATCAACATCAGTTGAAGAACTTATATAACATTTAATTATATCAACTATCCTTGAAAAAAATTGGAGAACATTATGTTGAGTTTTGTTTTAAGCGCATGCGCACGTGTGTGTGTGTGTTGTGTGTATGTATGTGTGTGTTTGGTTAAGTTTGGTTTTGTTTTCTTGATCTCTATGGCAGAACCTAAAAAAGGGAGGGGAAAAAAAAGAAAAGAAAAGAAAACAATCTCCTGCCATCTACTGATAATTAATTAGAATTACATAAATTGATACTCATTTATTCTCTTTTTAAATATATATATGTATATATATATATTACTATATTCCATCTACAAGAAATCCATAAATCAAATCATTAAAAGATTTACTACAGTGGAGGCTGGGAAGATGGCTAAACACTTGGCCTAGATTGATCATGAGACGGAGGGACAGATTTCCACTATCATTCCTGTCCTCCACTATGACTCCTGAGCCTTACAGCAGACTGCTTACAGCTATCCTGCCTCCCACACTGCCTTCACTCCCTGGGGACTCCACCTTTGGTGGTACCCAGCTCTGCTCTCCCCTGCCCCCATCTAACTCAACTATATTCCTTTGTGTCAGCAGCAAATACCCAGGAACAGTTTCTGCCTTGGATCCCCAGTGGCCACATCAGGTTCTGACTCGGGTAAGTGATTTTCACTATCCCTCTGGTCCTTCATTATCCACTGTCCAGACTCACTCCTAGTCCTGTAGCAGCCTCCTCCCATGTCAACATCATTCACTGCCCACTTCATGACACAGGCCCAGGGTCCCCCAAGACCTTTCATCCCTATCTTTCCAGACTTACTCTTTTCCCTAGGGTAGCCTATTTGCAGGAGCCTCTCCTCCCACCACACCTTACTCCCTGGGAACTCCGTCTCCATCTTGCTGAGGGCCAAATTCCTTTAACTCTTTGTCACAACTACTCTCAGTCTTTCCTCCTAGCCCATCTTCATGGTCAGAGATCCCACATCTACCACTTACCTAGGATCCAGAAAGGACAACAGAACCAAAGAAAAGGACACACACCCAACAAAGACAAGACCAGATGTCAAAACCTAGAAACACCTTAATCATCATAACTCCTGATACCTAGACTCCAGTACAAAAACACATCAACATCCAAGATAATATGCCTCTACTAGAAACCAATAACCCTATTACAGTAGGCCCTAAGAAATGTTATAAAGCTAAAGCACAAGACAAGGACTTCAAAGTAGCAATTGTGAACATATTTAAGGACCTTAAAGAGGATATGAATAAATTCCTTAATGAAGACCACGAAAACACAAAGAAACAGTTCAATGAAATATATTCAATGAAAGGATATTAAAAGCTGTAAGGGGAAAAGACCAAGTCACATATGAAAACAGGCCTATTAGAGTAACCCCTGATTTCTCAATGAAGACTCTGAAAGCCAAAAAGATCTGGACAGATGTTCTACAAATTCTAAGAAACCACAGATGTAATCTCAGACTACTATACCCAACAAAACTATCAATCATAATCAACAGAGAAAGAAAAACTACACCCAAGAACACAAGAATCAAACAATCACAGAACAGTAAGTCAAAAAGAGCAGAAAAATCCCACATCATAACAATAAAACAACAGCAATCAATAAGCACAGTTCATGGTTAACTCCCAATATTAATAGTAAAAATTCCCCAATGAAAATACACAGACTAACAGATTGGATAGGAGAACAGAATCTATGTTTCTGTTGTATTCAAGAAATGCCCCACCACCAAAGACAAATATTACCTTAAGATAAAAGGATGGAATAAGGTATTTCAGCAAAATGGACCAAGAAACAAACAGGTATAACCATTTTAATATCTGACAAAATAAACCCCAAACCAAAACTGATTAAAAGAGATAAGGAAGGACACTATATACTCATCAAAGGGAAAATATATGAGGATATTGTGATTCTTAACATTTATGCAGCAAACCCAAATGCAGATAAGTTCGTAAAAGAAACACTACTACAGCTAAAATCACATATTCATCCTAACACAATGATAGTGGGTGATTTCAAAACCCCACTATCACCAATAGACAGGTTATCCAGATGAAAACTGAACAGAAAAATATGCTTGAGCTAAATAACACCATAAATCAAATGAACCTAGCAGACATTTATAGAACATTTCAGCTAAACACAAAAGAATATACTTTCTTCTCAGTAACTCATACAACTTTCTCCAAAATTAATCACATACTTGGATACAAAGCAAGTATCAACAAATACAATAAAATTTAAATAACATCCTGTATCCTATCCAATCGAAATTGATTAAAGCTGGGTCAGGATGTGTATCCCTGGTTGTTATCAACAATTTTTAGCAATCTCCAAACTCTCTGACCATCAGACAAAGTGAAATAGGCTCACATTCTTGGGCCTCCACAAAGAAGACATCAGAAAATGAAAATATCTCTCATGCTTATAAATTGGCATGACTAATGTTGTGAAATGGCCCATTGACCACAATTCCCATCTAAATTCCAACACAATTCTTCACATTAATTTTAAAAAAATATAGCTTCATATGGACATAAAAACCCAGGATAGCTAAAACAATCCTGGATAATATTGTATCACCATACCATATTTCAAGTTGTACTAAAGAGCTATAAGAATAAACGCAGCAAGTCATTGGCACAAAAAAAAAGTGTTGATCAATGGGATAGAGCTGAAGACCTTAAACATAAACACACATCTCTATGGAAACCCCTTTTTTGATAGAGAATCCATAAATACAAACTAGGGGAAAGATAGCATCTTTAATAAATAGTGCTGGTCAAACTGTATGGTTGCATGTAGAATAATCCTAACAGATCCATATTTATCACCCTGAACAAAACTCAACTCCAAATTGATCAAGAACCTCAATGTAAGACCAGATACCCTGAATATCTGATAGATGAGAAGGTGGAGAATAGTTTAGAACTCATTAACACAGAAACGGCTTTCTTAACAAGACACCAACAGTACAGGCACTAAGAACAGTTAATAAGAAGAACCTCACAGAGCTGAAAAGCTTCTGTGTGCCAAAGGACACCATCATTCTGATAAAGCTTACAGAATGGAAAAAGACTTTTATTAACCACACATCTTATAGTGGGCCAATATTTAAAATACATTTAAAAATATACAAAAAACCCTGAACATCAAGAAAACAAGTAACCCAATTAACAATGCAGTTCAGAACTAATCAGAGACTTCTCAAAAGATGAGATACAGAGGGCTGAGAAACACTTAAACAAATGTTCAACATCCTTAGCCCTCAGGAAAATATAAATTAAAACTACTTTGAGATTTCATCTTACCCCAGTCAGAATGGTCAAGCTCAATAAATCAAATGACAGCTCATGCTGGGAGGATATGGGGAGAAGGGAACACTTATTCGTTGCTAGTGGGAGCGCAAACTTGTACAGCAACTATGGAAATCAATGTGACAGTTCCTCAGGAGGCTGGCAATTAATCTGCCTCAATATTCAGCTACACCACTCTTGGGCATATACCCATAGGAGTCTACATCCTACTACACAAATACCTTGCTCATCCATGGTCATTTATGGCTGGATTCATAATAGTCAGGAGTTATAAACAGTCTAGATGTCCATCAAATAATGAACGGGTAATGGAAAGGTGGTACATTTACACAATGGGATAGTAGTATGTTATTAAAAGGTCATAAAACAAAGCAAAATTAGGAATTGTGCAGGTAAATGGATAGAACAAAACCTAAGGTCAAGATGACTAAGGGCAGCACCCCTGCCCCTGCCAAAACAAAATACTATTTTTATGTTTTCTCTTATATGTGGATGTTAGTTTTTAAGTTTTCAATATGAGTTCTATAATTAGTATAACCATTGAGGTTAGCTGCTGACTGGGCGGGGGTGAGGGGACTAGGGCAAGGGTGAGGCTATCCCAATGAAGGGGAAATAAAATTTATCATTAAGGAAAGATGTGGCAGGGGGTGGCAGAGTAGAAGGGTTAAATGGGGAGTGGTGTGGGAAAGATGAGTAACGGAAACACTGTGGGGAGGGACAACTACCACTAAAGGAAACATGCATACCACTGCAAAGGTTCCTAAAACACAGACAGATATGAAAGAAATTTGGAGTCTTTAAATAATGGGGGACATCTTATGTCACCAAGTGAAGCCCCTATTGCCATCAATTGTTGAGACACTAACCAGGACTCCAAGAAAATCCCAAACATCTCAGGCTATTGCCTGGGCCATTGGTTGGTCTCCACATGCTTATGGTAAGATCCTATCACTGAAAGCAACACTTAATCGCCTCAGTGAACATAGAGAAGTCAAGCTGGTGCCTAGATAGAGGCTTCACCTGTACTAACTAGTACTAACTAGTACTGGCTCATGGTACTAAAAGGTACTCTGCATACTACCAGAGGAGAAAAATAATAATCAACCCAAGTACAAACCATGTGACCCACAATGGTTTCCTGCCTGTGAGCTATACTGGTGCAATAGTGATACAAATGTATCTGTAATGTAATCTCTGATTGGATTTAAGGCCCACTCTGTGGTGGAATTCATACATGAAACACCTAGGGTGGTCATGGATCGAAGGACCAACTACTATTGTTCAGCTAAAGGAACACAGCAATCAAATGATCTCGCTATACCGACAGACTGGCACCTTGCTCAGCTATCATCAGATAAGCTGCTTCTTGCAGAAAATGGGAACTAAGAGAGCCCCACTCCTGGACATTGGGGAGAGAGTGAGAAATATGGGCGCCCACATTCCTAACCAGATGTTTCCATCAAACAGTGCTCAGTGCTCAGAGACCTATGATGAAGAGGACGCAGAAAGATTGTAAGAGCCAGGGTAAAGGGATGACACCAAAGAAACAAGAGCTTTCAGACACAACAGGACCGAGGCCTATATAGACTCACTGTGACAGCGTGCACAAGGCCTGCGCAGCTTCGAGCCAGCTGGGGTTGCAGCACTGAGGGGGAAGTTCACCTGGGATTCCACATTGAACCAAGAACTATCTCCAGTTGGTACCTGTTTGCAAAGGAAAAGTTAGTCTTCTCCAATGGAGTTTCACTGGGCACTTAAGCCACACTGCAGGAGGATAGGTTCCATGCCTGGTGGTAGATGTCAATACTAAATAAACTCAACGCTATTTTTTTTTTTTTTTGTGGACTTTGATCTCATATAGCTTTGTTTGGAATTTTATTTTTTATTTTGTCTCACTGGTCTTTTGCTTGTATGCTTTAGTTTTCAATTTTCTGTTTCTGTGGGTTGTGTGTATGTTTCTTGAGGTTTTGTTTGTTCAGTTTTGTGTTTTGTTTAAGAGAGAAAGAAGGGATGTGGAGCTGGGTGGAGAGGAGGATCTGGGAGGACTTACGAGGAGAGAGAAGTATGTTCAGAATGCGTCATATGAAAATTTTTTTTCAATAAAAAAGATGAAAGGACAAAAACCCTCAAATGATGCGAGATCGTGGCAACCCTTTAGTTTATTCTTTGGCCTCTATAACTGATAGAGAAAGAATTTTTGTTAAGTCGTCCAGTTTGGGGTAATTCATTTTGGCAGCCCCAGCACATTAACAGGGGCTATTAACAAGGAAATTTGCATTGGCTACAAGGCCTAGTCTGTAAAGATCCATAAACTTTAATTCACAAGGCTTAGAAACAACTGTCTAGGCCAGTGAGACGGTTGGGGGTAAAGAGGCTTTCAGGCAACCTGGATAGCCAGCGTCCAATCCCTGAGGTTCACACAGTGGAGGAAGAGAACTGATTCAAACTGTTACCTGACCTCACGTGCATGAGCGTTTTCTCTCTCTCTCTCTCTCTCTCTCTCTCTCTCTCTCTCTCTCTCACACACACACACACACACACACACACACTCACAAAATAAATAAAGGTCATACAAAAATTTAAAAATTGGTCACAGCTCTTAAAATTTCTACTCATCTTACAAAATTTATGATATAGTATGATATATATGGACTTCCCAAGGGTTTTCCTGAATCATCAAGGCCCCCTAATGCTGTTTCTATGATACAGTCAAATAATTAAAATAAAGACGGGGTGCTCTCAGCCTATCTACACTGGGCTTCTAATCAACTCACTCTTCCACCTCCTTTGTAAATGCTAGGTAGTTAACTCCTGTAACTGCTGCATGCTCATGGTTAGGAAAGGCCTCTCAGGTGGGTCAGTCTGCCAGCTGAACTACCCAACCATGCCATAAACCATGTTTGTTCTCAAACCTGTTCGTGCCAGCTGTACTTGATTTTGTGCTTTCATAACTTCATTCAATATTATGCAAACCAATTATATAGTATAGAAATAAAGTTTGTGTTTCTCTGAAATCCATGTCTAATAATTTCAATAGATACAGTAACAGGTGTGCAATAACTATAAAAGAACAAGTTTGTGTCCAGATTGCTCCAAGAGCGCCTTTAAATTATTTTCCTCTTAAAGAAACAGAATGCTCAGGAATCCTTCCTATTTAGGGGTAGCTTTATGCTTTGTGCAAGAGACACAATGCAGAAAATTAAGCTGTGTATGTGCAAAAGGACTTTCTCAGTTGATTGACAGGTGAGCATTCCGCCAGACTAAAATACGTTTACAATAGTATGCTACACTTGCCCACAATTTTCTGGCTTAGCTTTGCTTTCTTTGGGAGAGCTTTACGCAGGTATAACCTACATACCCTAACTTCCATTCTTGCGAAGTGTACAGTTCAGTGTTTAACCAGCCGTGTCAATGGACTGGCTATGAGTTCAGCCTGTAGCTAGGAGAAGGCTTCTCGTATATGCCAATCCTAAGGAAGCTATTCCATGTAGTAAGACAACCAGGCCTCCAGGAAGGTTATGGTTAAGCTTGAAAGGTATTGAGCAACTGGGAGCAGTCACGCTCACAAAAGAGTGTTCAAAGTACAACAAACAGCAAAAGTAAAGAATGCAGTCGTGGGGCCCAGGAAGGAACAACTTTTACTTGAATGGCTTGAGAATAAGGCAGTTCTTCTTATTATTTTTTTTTCAAAATGAATTATGCATCTGAATCATCTTCAAGATGAAAACAAAAAAGCAGAACAAAGCATGCCCAGGCCTGACTCCTATAGACTCTGATTCAATAAGCAACTGGGGTGTGGGCTACCTGCATGAATATATTTTTTTAAGTTCTACTTGTTCAGATGTGCAACCGGGATTGAGAAGCTCTGGAGTGGTATGAGGCAGGCGTGAGAGGGTTGAGCAAACGGGGCTCAGACAGACCAGATGGTGAAGGAAAGGGCATGCAAATAGAATCTAACAACTTCCCTAACAACTTCACTATTTTCAGAGTTCTGTTTGTGACCGCCCGAAAGAATCGGAACTCTAAGCACTGTGCATGAGAACAGGGGAAAGGCCCTGTATCTGTTTTGTAAATAATTTCTTTATGGATTTCATTTTGCTTGACAGGAAACAAGTTCAGGCCAAGGCAAGTATGTCTGACCTGATGTGTATCATCTATCACTCAGACTTCCTAAGTGTCCAGTGAAAATCAGATACGAACCCTGCCCCCTCTCAAGTGGTCACATATGCTGGAGTGGGTCCTATGTGTGCTGGTTACCTCGCTCTCTAGTCAAGTCGAGGTTGGTGCACACTTGCAAGACTCTTCTCAACTCCCAAATACCCTAGAGTCTTCTCATTCAGGAAAGACACCGTCAGTATTCACAGGCTCACCAAGGAAGACAAAGGACCCTCTCCTTCCTCCTTAGCCCAGTCTACAGAAAATATGCTTTCTCTTACATCCTTATCTATGTTGAAAGTTGGCTATAATTCCATTTACAACGGTACTTGACTTCCATATCACAGTTTTAAAATAGATGACATTAAACCCTTGGAGGATAAAGGATACTTGATTTTGATCTTATTATTACTCAAAGAATGAATGCATTCTGTCCTATTAGGGGCGTATTTTTTTTTTTTAAGGAGCCTAATGAGAACTCGATGTGGTCAACACAAAAGAGGGGGCAGTCAAGGATGCTGATCCCCAACGAAAACACAGAATAAGCAGAAAGGGATGGGGGAATGAGAATCGACTCACTTGTTTCTGGAAACTAAAAAACTAAATAACAACAACAACAAAAAAGTAAAATGTTCCCGACCAAAGTCTCCGGGTCCCCTTACTTGAGCCCAGGACTGGAGGGCGCTAAGAGCTAACGTGACAGGCTGACCACACTGCTGGGTCAGCAGCTCCTCCTGCAGTCCCCGGGGGCCCGGGAGGAAGGACGCTCCTTCCGTTCTGCTCGCCTCCCGGAACGCGCCCACCCGCGGCCCTGCTCGCCTCGCCGCCGCGGCGCCCCCGCCTCAGGCGGCCTCCCCCAGGCCCTCGGCGGGCTACTGGGCCGGCGACCGCTGACCCGGAACTGCTGGGCGGCGGCGCGGGAATCCCCCGCCAGGGGCTCCTGCAGGCGACTCCCGGGCGCCGCCCCGCGGCCGTGGCGGGAACAGCCGGTGAGCGCGGCCGCCCAGGCCGCCTGGAGGCCGGGACGAACGCGGTGGGGCGGGAGGGGAGGGACAGAGGGCGGGCGACTCCGGGTCCAAAAGGACGCCCCAGCCCGCGACCGCCGAGGGGGAGAGCGGGAAGGGACACCGCGGTGAGTGTGCCAGCAGGTCCGGGACGCAGGGCGAACCCCCGCGGACGGAACAGGCTCTGTGTGTTGTCCCCCAGGTCGCCCTGCACAGCTGGCGGAAAGTATGAATGACAGCGGCTGTGCCCTGGGGCGCGGGGGTCAGGGTGAGCCTGGGTGGTCTCGGGAGTGAGGGATCAGTAGCGGTAGGGATCGCCAGGAATTCAGGGGTAAGGGGTCACCAGAGGGGCGCTCCAATGGGACTTGGGAGGACTGGAAGGACAAGGGGACAAGTATTAGCAAGTGGGCAGGAATGGCCCCTGATCCAAATGGCAGTGGTTTTCGCGATCATCCCAAGCATGGAGTGCTGTGTAAATGCTGGGGAAAGCCTATCCTATCGCTCAGATTCTATCTTAAAAAATGAGATTTGTGGTGGTGGCATACACCTTTAATCCCAGAACTTTGGGAGGCAGATGCAGGTGGCTCTCTGTGAGTTCGAGGCCAGCCTGGTCTACAGAGCGAGTTCCAGGACAGCCAGAGGTACACTAAGAAACCCTGTATCGAAAAACCACAAACCAAAATGAGGGGTTGGGAGGGGGGATGGAGGGAGGGAGAGGGAGAGGGGGAGAGGGGGAGAGGGGGAGAGGGAGAGAGAGGAGGGGGGAGAGAGAGAAAGAAAGAAATATGGTGATGCTGCTCAACATGCTAAAGGTGAGGCCTTATTATTTCATATGAGATATGATCTAATCTGATAAGCATGACATATGAGATATGACCTAATCTGATAAGCATGACGGGAATAATGGTATAGTAGCAGATAGATTGGCATCGTATAATTTTAAAGCGTGACTTGCTCTCTTTTCCGACCTGGGCTCTGGGTTTATTTGGGCTGCTTTTTGTGTTAACACAATTACTTCCCTTCTGGCCCCCACAGATTGATGCTGTGTCTGTAAGAAGACTGGCACAGTTGATTGCTACCTGTGACCATTTCTCTTTACGGCTGATTTGACACAAAAGTCTTTGAGGAAAGTGCATTAAGGATGGCAGAAGCCGTCGTGATTGATCTCTTCGGTTTAAAATTGAACTCACAGAAAATCTGCCATCAGACATTACTGAAGACATTGAACGGTATCCACCACCACCATGCCCCCAAGGCCAAGCTCCTTTGCATAATGTGTGGTGGTAGTGTCACCAAAGAAAGGGACCATGAAAACGGTCTTTCTGACATGGAAGCAGGAAATGGATTTCCACTTCTCACGAGAGATTTTGAGATTATTAGCAATTCCAGTATGGCAGCCTCTCTGTATACAATTAAACAAAAAATTGATGAAAAAAATCTGAGCCACATTAAGGTGATTGTACCCGAGCACAGGAAAACGTTTGTGAAGGCTTTTATCGATCAGCTCTTCACTGAAGTCTATGATTTTGAATTTGAAGATTTACAGGGAGCTTGGGGAGAGAGCCTGTTGAAACTGTCCACTGAAATAAACGTACCCACAGCTCATCAACTAGAGGAAATCCAAAGTGAAATAGAAGCGTACTTGAGAAGCCTGCCGACCCTGAAAGGGGACTTAACTATTATCACATCTCCGTTGATCCCAGGTACCCTACACACTCTTTTGTCACTTGTGAAAATCCAGACTTTCTTCGGACGTGTCTCACTTCCTTTTTTCCTGTTTCTGTTCACGCTTGTGAATTGCACATCTTTTGCAACATGGGGGTTTTATGACCTTGTGGGTCAATGGCATCAAGAGATGACTTCATCAGAGTCACCTCAAATAAGCAAATTGGTTCCCTGTCAATTCCTCTTTAAGGCAAATGTCCCAATCCTCCTTAAAAAAGAAAAAACAAAGCAAAGCAAGATCATTTTTGTTGTTGTTGCTGTTGTTGTTGTCCTGGAAGATCTTGTATGTAGAAATGCTGACACTTCAACCCTTTGGGCATTTGGGCAGAGGGTAAAATTTCAGAAAAAAAAAAATCAATCTTCCTTGGATAAGAAGTTTTTCTCGTGAGCAGTCACACAGGGTGACAGCCGTGTGTACCAGTGCACGGGGGTGCAGAGTGCTGCCAGAACTAGAAAGCACACAAACAATTGCAGACTGCAGTGATCCGGGAGGGTCTGGCCGAGACTCTGTCTTCTGTGTGTTCCCTTGTCTCTGTAGGACACCTTTTTACTCTGTCACTTATCATCAACAGATACCTTCATCCATGGATTTACGACAAGGACAGGTGGCATATCCTACATCCCAACCCTTAGCTCCCTCAATCTTTTCAGTAGCTGCAAACGGAGAGATCCCAAAGTAGTTGTTCAAGAAAATCTTCGTAGGTTGGCGGATGCTGCAGGATTTAATGCAGAGAAGTTTTACCGAATAAAGGTAAATTTTTGTTATATATTTTGGTTTTCCAAAATATTGGCATTCTCACTGTCAATAACTATATAACTATTAAGTTGTGTAATTTTTGCTTCTGGAACTTCATCTAACAGTTTAGGATAATGCTGTGATTATTTTTCTCTGCTTTATATGTTATAGCCTAAAGATCAAATATTCATATGTGTCTGTGCTCTCGGGCATGTGCGTATGTATGGATCTCATCTAGAACGCCACAGTTCTAGATGTAATATTACTTTTCAGTGAGTATCCAACCACTACTGCTCTATCAATACAGAAGAAAGTCCCCGGATGATCAGGAAAACCTTTGGGTCTATCAGTACAGAAGAAAGTCCGCGAATAATCAGGAAATGGTTTGGGTCTTTACTTTTTGTGTGAAGACCCGGCAGAACTAGGGTCTAAGTGAGGAGAAAAATCTGTTCAAGAATTCTAGATTTACTTGAGTCTAAGAAAAGGGGGGGAGGGAATCACTGATTTGGTACTTTCACTTTCTAGCAAGAAAGTGAAACTTGCCTTTTGTGAGAAGTACTCAAAATAAAGATTTACTCATCTCTGGGGAGGTGGGGGATTTGCATGACTTCCGAGTCAGCTTTCCTAAGAGCAACATCTGTAGAGATGTTATAGTTGGTATTTTATTATGTATAGAATTGGATAATCTATACATTATAATAATGGCATGCTATAATAATAGCATGATTACCTAATGTGGTACCCACATCAGTGCTTTTAGAAAAGCCCACATCTAAGAAGTTTTGTTTTCAAAACGTTTTTGCCCTGTGTTCTCTACTAGACGGATCACGCCAATGACGTGTGGGTCATGGGGAAGAAGGAGCCTGAATCCTATGACGGGATAGTCACAAACCAGAGCGGAGTCACAATCACAGCTCTCGGTGCCGACTGCATTACTATAGTCTTCGCAGATCCTGTGAAAAAGGCGTGTGGGGTTGCTCACTCTGGTAGGTGTGTTTAATAAATCATTTAAGAGTTTGTTCGTTTGCACTGTATTTTGTAATTTCTTTCCTGATGGGCATAGAAAGCTGTTAATTGTATTGCTTTGTGATAGGATGAGGCCTGTGTACTCTCACTATGGAAACAGATATAAGGAGTCAACAAGCAAATTAGATGAATCAGAGTAGAATTTGTGAAGTAGGTGGTACCTAGTGGTATTCGGGAGTCCGTAGGTTTTAAGCCTGTCAGTATTTCTAAGCAAGTATACGCTATTAACATATAGGGTAAGATAACCCTGCAGTATAGACTGAATTATCTTTAGTCCTTGAACTTTTTTAATGTGCATAATAATCACAGTCTTTGTAATAACCAAAGATAATCCTTCGTGCTTTTCAAAACACTGTAGGGTGTGGCTGCCTCTGGCTGAGAACCCATAGAGTCTGAGTACCAGGGAGCGGGGATGTGAGGCACACTGGATGCAGTTCACAGCATAAACAGCAGGAGAAAAGCAGTAAGCTTTAAAACAAAAGAAACAAGCCATGTTTGTCTATGCCCGTGAGTGGAAAGACACTTTTAGTTTAGTTACTTTCACTAAACCGAGACTGTCACCAGAAGAGAATTAAAACAGCATCTTCAAAGGCGATGTTTTGTCAAACTTACGGAATTACTTTCTGAAAAAAATGAAAAATAATATTTATTCTGTGTTTATTACCCTATGTAAAATGAGACACAATCTTTTGAGTTTTATCTTACTTATAGATATATGACTCTTTTGCTTTTTAGACAATACAGAATCAAGGGTCACCATTTGCTTTTGACAAGCTAAGGTAACAGAATTGGATGAGGGGTCAAGTTCACTGTATGACCTTGTCAAAAGTAGCTTCAAATTTGAACCTACACTCAAAGGGAAGAGTATTTCTTAGGTTTGAAACACTTATTCTGAAAATATCCAAGATTTAGTCAAAATGAAGCTATACATGTGAACTTAAAAATCATTGCTAAATAAGCCATGAACTACAATACAGTGGAATACATTATATACTCACCGGGATCAGCTAGTCTAAACTCCATCTGAGGGACTAATTTAATAAAAATATCCTAAACTAGCTATGTCTATGTGAATATGTTTCCGGTGGTGAGAAGATAAAGGAAAGTTCCTGAGGAAGAAAGGGTATCCTTGTGTGTGTAGAAAAGTCTTGACAGTAATCAAAATATCTGTACTAAGTTGTTTTCTTCTGAAAATTACTGCCTACATTTCCAAAGGTATTTCAGAATCGTGATGTTATAAATTCAATATGTTTTTCTTAAAGTCTTTTCTACCAAAAAGCTTCTCCCCTGTTTTTATCATTGAGACCAACCTATTTCATTCTAGTCTTCTTCTTCTTCTTCTTTTTTTTTTTTTTTTGGTTTTTTAAAACAAGGTTTCTCTGTATTTCTTTGGCTGTCCTGGAACTTGCTCTGTAGACCAGGCTGTCCTTGAACTTATAGAGATCTTCTTGTCTCTGTCTCCCTAAGTGCTGGCATTAAAAGCCTGCTAGGCTCTTCCGGTCCTCTTTCTACAATTACGTATTCAATGACTTACCAATGGACACTGGACCTATTATTTAAATATTTATTACTTCCACCATGTCTTCCTTTTAGCTGAAAAGAAGAAATGAGCTCTTTACCCAAGTGTTTAGTTTAAGAAGGACAGGTGTATGGAGTAGTGAGAAAAGAGAGCAGGGGGACTCCTTATTGTCCACCTAAGTCAACTGAATTTGCATCCGAATGAAGGAAAAAAATGTAATTCTCTTAGGTTTTATTTTAGGAAACTAAATGGAAGCAGGAATGAAGAAAGTGGCTTAGTCTTAGAACTCAACATGAAATCCAAAGAAAAGAAAGAGCTAGTAGAAAAATCTGTGAGAAGACTGTCAGCTGCAAAGATGAACTTCAGTGTGAAAAGCGGAGAGATGGCCAGACTCCACAGCGTTACTAAGAGAAGCTAAAGAAACAGGAGATAATTAGAAGTCCCATGTCCATAAAGTGAAGACAATGATTGTTAAGATATAAACATTACCCCAAATCATCTACAGATCTGGTACAATCCTAACAAATCCCTAATTGCATTTTTTACAGGAAAAAAGGGGGGGGGGCTTTGGATAGTCACAACAATCTTGTAAAAGATCAAATTTGGACATTTTGCAGTTTCTAATTTTAGAACTCATTTCAAAGCTATAGTATCAAAAATAATGTAACACTAGTATTAAAAATAATAGATAAACCAACAAAATAGAATAGAGAGCCTACAAGTGACAGATAAGCCATGAACTACGGTTAAGAGCTTTTTACCAGCCAGGCAGTGGTGACGCACGCCTTTAATCCCAGCACTCAGGAGGCAGAGGCAGGCGGATCTCTTGGAGTTTGAGGCCAGCCTGGTCTTCTACAAGAGCTAGTTCCAGGACAGGAACCAAAAAGCTACGGGGAGAAACCCTGTCTCGAAAATCAAAAAAAAAAAAAAAAAAAAAGAGCTTTTTACCAAAGATGCCAAATTGGTTATTCAATGGGGAAAGAATGATAGCTAATCTTCAACCAGTGGAGCTGGGGAAGACAGACACCCAGAAGCAAAAGAATGATTCTGGCCCTTACCATAACAATAGTAAAAGATAAGAACAGAATGGATCAGTGACCTAAATTTTAAGAGGCAAAATTATAAAACTCTTAGGAAAATGAAAACCAAGCAGGAAAGAAAAAAAATTTAAAGACAGGTAAATTGAACCTCATTAAAATTTAAAATGCTTCTGCATGAAAGGAATGGCGTAGAAAGGAAGCCCATTATGTTTAGTAAGGGGTTAATTACTAAAACAACACCTGCAATCCTAGAGTCAAAACAGCTGGGTTGAAGAATGGGTAAAGGGACTGGGGATGTAATTGTGTTGGCAGAGAGCTTACGTGGCATAGATGACATTGTCTGTTCAATAGCATCATACAAACCAGGTATGGTGGCTCACATCTCTAATCCCAGCACTCAGGAGGTAGGGGTAGGAGGATCGGATATTAAGGAAAGGAATTTTTCCCTAAAAATGGTTGCAAATAGCTAAGGAGCATAAGAAAAGAAAAGCTAATCAACATCATTCATAATTAAAGAAATGTAAGTCAAACCCATAATTTCAACATGCATCCGTCAGAGTGACTACTACTTAAGACATAAAGCAAGTCTCGAGGAATGATGAGTATGAAAGATGTAAAAATTCCCTAACAGAAATAGTCTTCTGCATATGGTGGCACTTGACACCAGCACTTAGGAGGCAGAGGCAGGCAGATCTCTGAGCCTGAGGCCAGCCTGGTCTACATAGTGGATTTCAGCTACATAGTGAAACCCTACTTCAAGTTAAAAAAAAAATGCTATGGCGAGTCCTTCAAAAGTTTAATATAGAATTGCCACATGACCTAGAATCCTGACTCCGGACCTAGGTCCAGAAGAACTCACATCTACAGGTATAGCATCCTGATCCGTAAGATCCATGAGGCAGAGACAGCCCAAGTCTTCAGTGACAAGAGAGTAAGTAGGAAAACGCGACGTGGTATGGTACAATGACATGATATTCTGTCTTTAAATGGCCATAGATTCGGATACGTGCTGCAACATGGATGAACCTTCTAGACATTGATTCCATCAGCCAGTCACAGACAAACCCAATATGATGCTCTTCACGTAACATACACAGAGTAATTAAAATTCATAAACAAAAATTTATAGGAATAGAGAAATGACAAGTTATTATTTGAGAATATAGTTTCAAACGTGCAAGTTGAGGGAAATGTGTAAATTGAACGCTGCCAATGTTAATACTGAGTTGGACACATTAAGTGACTTACCTGTTATGTGTTCTGTGTTTCATTCCCCTGGAAGTAGAAAAGAGAGGGGAGAAAGACTGAAAGGACATTGTTCCTATGGAGACTAAACATCAATACCAGTTTGCAAAAGAGACTCCCTCTAATTGCCGGTTCTGTCGTGTTCTTTGTACCGTGCACCTAGTGTTAATGATGGTACTGTATTGGAACCGTTACTTTGGGGTTCATCTATGATACACACTTTGAATACACAAACCACAGCTGTTGTTGGGAATCCACATTTTTAACTTCTCCTGTCTTCTTTTCCTCCCATTTACCAGGCTGGAAAGGTACTTTGCTGGGCGTAGCTATGGCTACTGTGAACGCTATGACCGCAGAGTACGGCTGTAACCCGGAAGACATCCGTGTTGTTCTGGGGCCTTCAGTAGGCCCCTGCTGCTTCGCTCTCCCCAGAGAACAGGCAACCTCATTTCACGATCTTCATCCCTCGTGTGTGCGACGGTTCGACTCACTGAATCCCTATGTTGACATCCGAAAAGCTACCAGGTGTGTGTGATTTCGATGCGGTGCCAGAAGCCTGGTTACTGCTTATCGTTTCTGAGATGACCATTACTTTAGAGAACAGTAAATAACTCCCCACAACAATCCAGGTAGCAAATATTTGAGGCGCTTAACATACACACATATGGAAAAACCCACTTTAAATAAGGCGTCTATTCTCACACAGTTTATATCACAGATGATTTCATGACTGTTAGAATTTTGAAGTAAATTGCAAATTGATCTCTACGGAAAACTGCTTAAACCTTGTATAAAATAGCCGATACGGACTTTACTTCACAGCTGTTGCTTAGGTCAGTTCTCCTAAGAAATAGAAACCATAAGAAAGTTGATATTTTGAAAGTATTCTTATTGTCTAATTAGTTAGAAAACATTTCTTGTAAAACATTAGATAATATCAATATGTAGCACTTGCGGTCCTGTGAGTTTTGAATATAAGACTGTGCTTCCTAATCTCTGTTGGACATTGTCATTTCTAAGAAAGGAAACCGATGTCTGATTTGAATAGTGTTTCTATTCCAGTCAGCAAAGCCGTACCCAGACCCCGCCCCGCCTCATTTAACACATGAGTAGAAAGGATTCAGTCAATCCGAATTGATTCTTAAATGCAGCTTGTGAATGAGTGACACTAATTTTATTCCTATTTTATATCACAGCATTTATGAACAAAGTTTTCTGTGAAGAGTCTAGTATGTGTGTGTGTGGGGAAACGTGAAGATCAGATGATTAAAAGTAGGCCCTATCTGAACCAAAGGAGTTTTGTACACAAGTGCCCTTCCTCCCAAACAAGCTTCTGACCCCCAGAGCCAGCACACGTCTGCAGGGCAGTGTGGATCACCGCACAGCTCCTATTTGAGCTTTGCTGATAAAATCTACCATTTCCTGACTAGCCCTGCTGCAGAGTAAACAGCAGCTTCCATCATGCAGAGGTCTTTCCTGGAATGGGTCCACCCAAGTAAACATGCCCTTTCCACGTTGCTCTCACTATCAGTAACATAAACTCTTCTGTCTCTTGATATATCTTTGTTCTAAGGATTCTTCTAGAACGGGGAGGAATTCTTCCACAGCATATTCATGACCAGAAGGGAGATCTTGATCTCTGCACATCCTGCCATCCTGATAAGTTTTTCTCCCATGTTCGAGATGGGCTTAACTTCGGTACACAGATTGGCTTCATATCCATCAGAGAATGAGGTACACAGCCTCCTCTGGCCATCTCTCTTTAGTCTCTTTCCATGTCCCCTCCCCACTCAATCACCCTCCCTCTCCTCCTCCCTCCAGCCTTTCCCTGCCTTCATTGAAAAAGTATTCCTTGTTCCCTATAAAGATAATCAAGTTTTGATTTTTAAGTGGCAAAATGGTATAGAAAAGTTTTGGGAACACATTCTATGATGAAGACTATTCATTTCTTTTTCTAGTTAATTAAGAATAATTAGGTAGGCTTATGTTAAAGTTTTAAAGTAGTTTAATCTTCTTTTTAAAAAAACTGTATAAGAAGTCTTTATCTCTGATGTGAACTTGACCAATGCATGTCTTATTATAACATCTTGATATCTTTCATTATTTTTGTTTTATGAAAAATAGATTAATATTGTAAAAATGGCCACACTTCCAAAATCAGTCTACAGATTGAATATGATCCCTACAAAAATTCCAACACAAATTTTCACACGGATGTTGAAAGGACAAATTTTAGCTCCATATGGAAATACACACACACATAAAAGGAAAAAAACCAACATAGCTAAAATAATCCTGAATAATAAAATACTGTTGGAGCTATCATCATCCTGGATTTCAAGATGTGCTACAAAGCTACAGTGATAAAAAAAAAAAAAAACAGCTTGGTGTCTGCATAAAAACAGACAAATTGATCAATGGAATAGAATTGAAGACCCAAACATAAATCCACACACTTATGAACATCTAATTTTTTTTATAAAAAGGCCATAAATACACGGTGGAAAAGGAGCAACCTCTTCAACAAATGCTGACGGTCACACTGGATGACTGCATGTAGAAGAATCAACATAGATCCGTACTTATCATCCTACACAAAAATTAACTGCAAATGGATCAGAGCCCTCAACATAAAACCACATACACTGAGCCTAATAGAAGAGAAAGACAAGAAATGGACTTGAACTCATCGGCACAGGAAAAGACTTCCTGAACAAAACACTAAGGCACTAAGAGCAACCATAAATGTGCCCTCACGAAACTGAAAAGCTTCTGCATGGCAAAGGAGGCTGTCATCTGGACAACGCAGCAGCCTACAGAGTGGGAAAAACTTTCCACCAACTCCACATCCAATAGAGGGATAATATCCAAAATGTATCAAGAACTCAAGAAATTCGATTTCAAAACACCAAATAACACAATTTAAAAAATGTGTACAGATCTAAACCATTTCTAACTAGAGGAAACTCAAATGGCGGGGAAACATTTAAAGAAATGTTCAACATCTTTAGTCATCATGGAAATGCAAATCAGAACCACCTTGAGATTCCATATTACACCTATCAGAATGGCTAAGAGCAATAATACAAGTGACAGCTCATGCTGGCAAGGATATGGAGCAAGGGGGCACTCCTCTCGCTGGCGGGAGTGTAAACTTATACAGCCACTAGGTATGGAGGCTGAGGACAACTTTCAGTAGTCTCCTCTTGTCTACCGCCATAGGCTTCCAGAGATCGAACTGAGCTTATTAAGGTTGATGGCCAGAGCCCTTACCCACTGAGTCATTTGTATATTCTTCACTCTTTACAATGACTTTAGTTTTTAATGTACTTTATGATTCCTACCTCGATGTTCTAAGAGTGTTAGTTAGGAGTTCATGTTTGATTTCTGTGTGTTTTACAGGTTCTTGACTGAAATTTTGCATCACCGTTTCCTGCATCCTTCCACACTGCTTGCAAAAGAAAATTTTAGCTTTTTGATTCATATAAAACCAAGAGAGTTACAAAACATAATTCACCTTTAGGGTATATTTTCCCTGTGACCCACAACAAGATGATCTTAGTTTAATTCTTATGATAACTAATAAAAGAATCAATGTGATGTTATCCCTCAAGTTATTTCTGTGTATTTATCTGTAAATCAATACCAGGTCTGTTCAGTTCAGTATTTGTTGGATGCCAACTTTTTTTTTTATAGGGATGAGGCTTAACACAGTGAATCAAAATAAAGACAACTTTTCCATTTGAGTCAAATGCAGTAGGCGAGATAAACACTTCCTTTTAAATATATATATATATATATATATATATATATATATATATATATGGAATTGCCTTACACAAGAGTAGGTTTCATTATGGCATTTTCAAGCATCATGGTTTTGCTGATCCTCCCCTTTCCCTTCTTTCTCGTCCCTCTGAGCATCCTTCCACTCCCAACAGCCCCTCCCCTTTCATGTCTAATGTGTTCTATCACCCCCTTCCTTGCTCAGCCGTGTGTTCTCTTTCTAGGTTCAACACCTATATCCACGTTTATACCCACACATATACGTATATGTGTATGTATGCATAAACATTAATGGTTAGGATTCATATATGAGAGAGAATATGCAATGTTTGTTATTCTGAGTCTGGATTATTTTGTTCAATATAATATTTCCAGATCTGTAGGAGAATGTGAATAAAGTAGTCCCACATTAGCTCAGACTTGAGAATAATAAAGGGTTCTTTATTTAGGGGGACAGATTCACAGATCACAGTCCTCTTCACGAGCCGGAAACAGGAACCGAATCCAGTGGCCAAAAGAGAGCAAGTGTGGTTTTTGGTACCCAAGGCCACGCCCAACCTGGTCCAGCATCTCGAAGGCCATTGGCTGAAGGAGTTTCCCCAGCACATATCCATCTACTTTCCTTCAAATTTGATAATTTCATTATAGTTAAATAAAATACTGTATTACTGTATTTTTGTTACCCATTCATTTCTTGATGAACATCTAGGCTAATTTCAATTCCTTGCTGTTGTGGCTAGAATAGCAATGAATGTACATGTTTAAATATCTTTATGGCAGGATATAGAGCCTTGGGGATATGCGTAGAAGTAGACTAATTGGGTCATAGGTCTAGTCTGTTTTATTTATAAAATATATTCTTTTGAGAATTTAATTCATGTATACAGTAAAATATGGTTATAACCATCCTTCATTTCCTCTACAAATCTTTCTCAGCTTTCCCCAACATGTCCCCCTCCCAGTTTCATGTCCTCAATTTTGGTGATATTTCATTTATATTTTAATAAATGAAACTTGCCTGAAGTTCAGAGAGTAGAATAGCTGCACTGATCAGCCTTATAGACCAGGCAGTGGTGGCACACACATTTAATCGTAGTAGCCACACTAGCTAGACATAGAGGCCTGGCAGTGGTGGTACACGCCTTTAATCCCAGCCCTAGAGAGGAATATAAGATGGGAGGCGACAGGCTCAGTCTTACTCTCAGATTCCATTTTGGACTGAGGTAGAGGTAAGAGCCAGTGGCTGACTGTTTTGCTTTTCTGACCTTCAGGTTGAGCCACAATTTCTTTCTCTGGATTTTTATTAATTGTGCTACACCCACTGTTGATTTTCTGAAGTCTCCGTGCTGATTTATTTAATGGCTGTTCCAGTTCACACTGCTACTGACAGTGAAAAGGGCCCAGCTTTTCCTACATCCTCATCGGCATCCGCTAGCATTTTTCTTTTGGTATTTTATTTACTTATTTTTATGTGTATGGGTATTTTGCCTGCACGTATGTCTGTGCACCACGTGTGTGTGCAGTGACCAGATAGGCCAGAAGAGGATGTCAGCTCCCCTGAGACTGGAGTTACAGATGGCTTTGCGCTGCCATGTGGGTGTTGGGAATGGATCACAGACTGTCTGGAGGAGCCGCCAGTGTTCTAAGCCACTGAGTCATCTCCCCAGCTTTGTCATTTTCTCTCTTGGTAGCCGCCATTCTGACTATTCTTTGGTAGACTCTTAAAGTAGTTTTAATTTTGATGTCTATGATGGCTAAAACTGTTGATTGCATTTTCAGTATAGGTCTGGACATTTGTGGTTCTTCTGAGAACCATCTGTTCATTTCCTGAACTCATTTATTGACAGGCAGTTTTATCGTTCAGTTTTGAAAGATTTTATGTTCTAGGTACTAATCCCCGGTCTGAAGTCAAGCTGGCAAACATTCTGCACTACTCTGTAAGCTGTTTGTGCTCCTGCTAATAGTTCGCTTTGATGTGTAAAATGTTTTTTCTTTATGTAATTTGTCGAATTATCTAGGATCGAGAAATACCAGGCTAACTACAAGACAGACCAACTATATTGATCTTTATTATAATGGGCAAACTCACAAGACAGGAACGAAAAGTCCAAGCTCAGCTATGTAGTGCAAAAACCAGAGAGAGAGAGAGAGAGAGAGAGAGAGAGAGAGAGAGAGCGCAAATGCTGAGCCACCCAGTGTTTTTCTCCAGGTACCCAAAAGGCCATGCCCCTCACTTGGTCCCACCACTTAAAGATCATTGGCTAACAGAGATTCCCCATCACCCAACCCTTTTGTCTAAATAAGGGAGTTCCAAACTCAATACAAAACTATATACAATAGGAACAGATATTAAGTATAAAATTAGGACTACAACCAACATAAATAATATTAAGCAAGGAACACATGCTAAATGTTTAATAAACATTCTATTCTAAAGAGTCTAAGTCTTGCATTGAAAATGACTTGACTAAATCATAAGAGGAAGGTAACTAAGACTGTCTAATCTTCAACCCCATTGAAGGCCTGGCAAGGGAGAAAATTTTACTTGAGTAGGCAGGAAGTGCAATCAAGTAGCTTCCAAAATAAGCAATATATGACAGAGACAATTAGCTACCTGAGCAATCACCCAAAGTCTCATTTGCAATGTTGAAGCAACCAACTTTGGCTAAGGCCTAGAGTAACTGACAGACCATATTCAGAGGCAGGAAAATTTTCAAAACTGTTTTACCCTGTCTTGGCAAGGTTTGGTAGTCTTTTTCCTTGTGTCCTCCGTGCTTGTCCAGTCCAGACATCGTACACTTTGTCAGTGGTCGAGGCATGGGCAGTTCCTTGCCCAAAGGCAAATTGTGCCAAGAAGAAAACAAGCTCCAAGTGGAGTGTCTTTGGTGTTCAACATTCTCTCTTGTCTTATGAAATTCGTAGTACTAATCTTCAGAGAATACTGTTTCCAGTTGTTATTATCTTCCCAAGGAGCTGGTCCTTTGCTAATTTGTAGTGGCTCTTTTCTATCCCCTCCAGCTAGATTTGGTTTGAGGTCTACCTTATCATATACAGAAATTGTTACATAGTATTACACAGCTTCCAATTGCTTGGTAGGATTTTCACCTTTTGAATAGTTTTGTTTTCTGGGTTTTGTTTTTATCTTTGCTGATTAAGTGTGTTTCTCGGAGACAATAGATGTACCTTGTTTTATTAATTCCATCAGTGATTCTGCATTTTTTTATTGTTTAATTGAGCTCATTTGCACTTGAGGTTATTGCCTATGATTTTGATTTTCTGGTTGTTATATTATTAGTATTTCTGGTCTTCTCTGTTAGTATTAGGGGTTTTCTGGTTTGCTTTGCTATTCCTGATTACTTCCTCCCCAACTCTTTTTGATCATTCATGAAATATATTCTTTTCTATGTTCTATTTATGAGACTTTGCTTTTCCTACATATATAATATTCATTTAACATTTTTCTGTGATACTGCTTGGTTGTTAATACTTGCCTTAATTTTCCATGAGTTTAAAACTTGGTTGACAATTCTTTACTTCCAGATATTGAAATATATAATTTCATACATTCCTGGCTTCATGTTTCTTATAAATGATTTAATATTATTATGATGCTTTTCCCTTTGTATATGAGGTGGATATTTTTTTCTCTCTCAGCTTTTAGTGTTTACTTTGTGGTTGTGACATTGTGGCTATGGTGTGTTGTGGAGACTTTCTCTGGTTACATCTATTTGGGTTTCTAAAGGCCTTTTGTGTTTAGATGTTGACTTCCTTAAATTTAGAGAAATTTTTTCTATAAGTTACTTGAGTAAATTATCTATGACTTTTGACTTTATCTCAGTTCCTACTTCATTGCTTCTTTGATTTGTATCTATTGAACGTACCTTTTTGGAATGACTGGTTGTTTTAATTGTTCTGTGTGTCTAAATGTAGCATTGTTTCAGCTTAGTCTTTCCTCCCTGAAATTTGTTCTCCCAGTAACTGTTGTCTGTTAGAGAGGCTTATTGGTGTGATTTGGACTTGATTGTTTGCTTCTTTCAGTCCCTGAAATTCTGCTTGATTCTTCTCTGGTGTTTTAGCATCCTTTCCAAATATTTCCTTTATGTTTTAAAATTTTTCTCTGAGATAAATTGCTTCTACAGTTAAAATATAATTTTACAAAGAGATGGGTACTTGATGGAGGAAGGTCATTGGCTAATAAAGGCACTGCCCTGGCCCATTTTATTGGTTAGAGGATAGGTGGGAGGAGTAAACAGAACAGAACGCTGGGAGGAACAGGAAGTGAGGTCAGCACCCCGGCCGCCTGCTCGGCTAGCTTATGCCCCGAAATAATTACACGGACACTATATTCTTTTAATCACTGCTTGGCCCATTCTCTTCTAGGCTAATTCTCACATATTAATTTAGCCCATTCCTAATCATCTGTGTGTAGCACCCCAAGGTGCGCTTACCAGGGAGATTCTAGGCTAGTCCATCCTGGGTCCAAGCTTCATCCCGGGAGCGGGGCATGGCGTCTCTCTCAGGCGTCTGCTCCCGAGAGAGCTGTCGAGTCTCTGACCTCACTTCCTGTTCATCACAATAGAGGGTTCCCCCACAGCACCACATCCTATTCAATGAGATGGTTTCAGAGTGAGTGACCAAAAGAGAGAGACTGAGTAGAAACAGTGAGAATATTTTGTTTTCCAAGACAGGGTTTCTCTGCCACTACCCTGGCTGGCCTGGAACTCACTCTGTAGACCAGGCTGGCCTGGAACTCACAAAGATATGCCTGCCTTTGCCTCCAGAGTACTGGGATTAAAGGCATGCACCACCACACCCAGCT